TAAATAAAATCTTTAAAAATAAAAAAAATAATACCAACAATATATTCAACTATGTATGCTTGTATGTATATACACACATGCATGTATATATGTATGTATGTATGTATGTGTATATACAAACACACATGAATATATACATGCTCATATATAAGTGAAATGAGTAACGGCAATGACACAAAGGACGGGAGGAAGGAATTAGAATGACTTTGCTATTATAAAGTACTCACACTATCAGTGAAGTGGTATAGTGTTATTTGAAAGTGGATGTGGACTACCTAAAATGCATAATGTAAAATTTAAGACAACCACTAAAAAAAGTAAGAGATGTATCACTGGTATGCTGAGAAAGGAAAGAAAATGAAATAATATGAAATGCTCCATTAAAACTACAAAAGGCTGAAAAGGGTGGAAGACAATAATAGAAACGAAGAACAAGGTAACAAAAAGAAAAGAGTAACAAATATGATAGCTAATAATCCAACTGTATCAATAATCATTTTAAATGTCAATGGTCTAAATGCACCAACTAAAAGATGGTCAGAGTGCATCAAAAACACAACCCAACTGCATGCTACTTACGAGGAACCCACTTTAAAAACAAAGACACATTTAGATTAAAAGTAAATGAATGGACTGTGGACTCTGAGAAACAAACTTGAGGGTTTTGGAGGGGAGGGAGGTGGGGGGTTGGTGAGCCTGGTGGTGGGTATTAAGGAGGGCATGGATTGCATGGAGCACAGGGTGTGATGCATAAACAATGACTCTTGGAACATTGAGAAAATAAAATAAATTTTTTAAGAAAAAGAAAAAAAAGTAAGTGAATGGAGAAAAATACACCAAGCTGATTACACAATCATTACACAATGATAAAGGGATCAATTCTCCAAGATACATCAATCCTTAACATATGTGCACCTAACAACAGAGCATCAACCTGTGTGAAACAAAAACTAATAAAACTGCAAAGAGAACTTTTAAAATCCACTATCAGGGTTGGCAAGTTCAGTAACTGTCTATCAGAAATGGACAGACCTGGCGGGCAGAAAGTCAGAAGGACTCAGGTGAACTCAATATCATCAATCTACACTGAATATACTGAGATCTACATACTTCTTGAAACAGCAGCAGCGGAATACACATTCTTCTCAAGCTCACATGGGACATTCACCAAGATATTACACATTCTGGACCCCAAAACACACCCAAACCAGTTTGGCAGACGGGAAATCATGCTCTCAGACTGCAGTGGAGTTAAACTAGACATCAGTAACAGAAGGACAGCTAGAAAACTCTAAAAGGGAACCATCTGTGTGTTAGGGGTTCTGGGTAAGTCCATTCTTCTGCAGATCAGAGAGAGTCCAAGAAGGCTTTAGATTAGGCAAGTAGCATGGCCAGTTGTGCTTTCTGAAAATAAGGCTATATAACACATGGATTCTGCTGGAGGAGAAAGAAAAGACATCTAAAGAGAACTAAGCAAGTCAGAAACTCTGCATAGGAGGTTTAAAAAAAAAAAAAAAGACCTAAAACAGAGCAGTAAAAATAGAGGAGAACTCATGAATGTGAGAAAACAACATATAATGACCTCTTAATATTTAAAAGTAGAAAATGCATATCCTCAACCTTTCTATTCTTAACCATCTTTCTTACTACATCTTTCATCTAAGCCACTAACATTACTTAATGTGGAAGCATACCACAAGACTCCCAGTTACTTTCCCAGATTCCATCTTCACCTCTACCCACCCCGCTGCACAGCAGCCAGAATGATCTTCTTAGGTATCACACCCCTGCTCAATACCCACCAATGGCTTCCCATTGCAACTGGAATAAAACCCTAACTTCTTACTTTGGCCTATAGGACTGTTTCGATGGCATCTGCTCTCTCCCAAAATTTCCCTACTTAAATCACTTACCTTCCGCCATACCTGCCCCCCTTCAGTTTCTCAAAACACTGAGCTTATTTTCACTGACAGACTTTGCACTAGCTGTTCCCTCTGCCCGGAATGTTCTTTCCCTAGATCTTCAAATGGCTGGCCTTTTAAAATTTTTCACATCTCAGTTCAGATATCATCTTCTTAGAGATGCCTTTTCTAATCACTGTTTCTAAAACTGCCATCCCTCTATCTTATCACCCTGCTTTATTTCTTCACAACAGTTACCATCTTTTACAATTATCCTCCTTATCTATCTATACGTGCTGACTTTCTCATTCCTCCAACCCCCTCCCCACCCCACACTAAAATGTATATCCTATGAAAGCAAGACCTTGTCTGTCTTATTCACCACTCTATTCCCAAAAAGGATAAGGCTGGTACATAGCAGACATTCAATAAATGTACAGTAAAACGAAATGTACAGTAAAAAAAAATTCTTATCACAGATGCTAGTAAATGAGTAACACTGTATAACATTCATTGAGCTGTATTTCTTTTCTTCTCCTATTGCATCATGAGGTGCCTTACAGACTCGACTGAAACCCATGGATTTTAGATAATGCAGTGCCTTATAAAGAGAATATATTACCTAAAGTAGTAAAATTATTCAAGCTATTCAGCTTTTATTGTTAGGCAATTTGGTGGCTTAAAAGACTGACAGTCTTACCTTACAAGCTAAGTTACCTGCCACAAAATTTATAAAGAGATGGCAAGGAGCCTTACTCTAAATGTGGAGGAGAACCATGGAAGAGCTTTCTGGGGAAGAAGATACAACCTCCTCCATCCATGCTATGAACTACAGGGTCTCTTAACTGCCACCCCTGAATCTTAGGCTTGCCAACTGAATTAAAATATACCATTGGAGACCATTTATAAGAGAAAGTTAGCCATATATATGTTATACACATCACGTGCATACACACATTTTAAATAAATAAAAAATGCATAGAAAACATAAAACCAAATAGTTATAAGCATACACTTTTCAAGAAAGAACACTTCCTCACACAGCAAAGCATAAATATTTGTGTTAAGTAACCAAAATAATCAATGGGCTCCCAACGCCACTTCCTATGAGACTTGGCTGTCTGAGTTTTATTTTCCCCTTCTCCTATTTGTTTTGTCTTTTCAATGATCTGATCCACAGAGCCTCTGCCTGTGTGAAGATCCAGTATCATGGTCCCTCTATTTTCATTTGATAACAGCAGATTGATCATGATCCTTCTTATTAGCCATTTAGAGCTGAAGCTGTCAAGTTTTCTAAGATAACTGCCTAGCAATTTTTTTTAAAAAGGGATACCTTTACTGTTTGGCTAGCAATATATACCATGCATTTTTCTTTTAAGAGGCCTGTTTTACTGCCACTGATTATACAGCTACTTGCATGATTGGTGAGGAAATGCAGTTTTTGTTTTCTCTAACAAATATTTGAGTGCCTCCTGCACACTAATACAATGGCACTCTACTTTCTGCAACTATATGCCAGAGGTCAAGAACTGCCACATGATGCCCTGAGAGTAGTTTCCATATAATTGACTCCTTTTGGGTTACCTAGATAACTCAGCTCATCAAAATGATCCCACACCTCCCTCCCTCAACCTACCACCATTGCCAGTTTCGTACAGTTCTGTGGTACTCTGAACCCATGATTCCCCTGTTTTCATTTTTAGTTTTTAAAGTAAGCTGTAGGCCCAATGTGGGCTTGAACACACAACTGTTAGATTAAGAGTCACACATTCTATTGACTGAGCCAGCGAGGTACTCCTCCACTGATTTTCATTTTAAAATAGAAAATGTGACTTGTTCAATATGTAGTATAATGTTAATAGCCATCTATGTCATCTGATTACTCAGTGTTTGGGACCTAGAAAGAGATGAGTGTCAGAGAGCCAGAGGCCCTGACTTTGTAATAGGTCTAGCAGGAGTTGAACTAGCAGCAGAACAGACAGGCAAAGCTACAGAAAAACCTGGAAGAAAGTACTAGGGATATCTATGACTCTGCAAATACATGGCCCAACCTAGATGCAATGATTAAATTTACTAACATTTATGTAACTGTTTACAGCCTAAAGTGTTAACACATCTAGTGGTACCAGGGCGGCACAGTCGGTTAAGAGTCCAACTCTTAGTTTTGGCTCTGGTCATGATGTAAGGTTGTGATTTCAGGGTCAAGAGATTGAGCTCGATGTGGAGCTCTGTGCTCCGCATAGAGCTCACTTGAGATCTTCTCTCTCTCTCTCTTCCTTTGTCACTCTCACCTACTGTGTATGCTCATTCTCTTTCTCTAGGATGAATAAATAAATCTTTTTAAAAAGGTGTAAACATATCTGAATAGTACTAGTACAACATACATTTATTAATCTACAGCAATCCTTTGAGGTTAACTATTATTCCCATTTTACAGAAAAGGACACCGAGGAAAGATGTTCATTGAAAGTAAAATGCCTAAGATTATAGCATATGTTGCTAGAACTTATCCTAGGACTTTCCCACAAAAATTCCATGTGCTTCTCACTATATGACCCAGAAAGGTAAAGCCCAATTATGTAAAAGTCAATGGATATTAGCCATGTGCTAAGTAAACAACCCCTTCACATGGTAAATACTATGTAGACTGAGAGAAGAGGTTGTTTGCAAACCTGAATGACTTCAAGAGAGACAGAAATAAGGAGGGTAAAACTAATAGTTGTCATTTAAAAAGCAATTTGGTTAGAAAGGATTCAAAGGTGTGAAGCAGGAGACAAATGTTTCTAGCAATATCAATATTATGACCACATAATATAACCTTAATCAGAAGCACATGATTTCAAATCATTGCTGAAAATTGAAAACCAGATTAGATATTATTTTAAGATCATAAATATTGGAATTTATGTTGAAAGAGGGAAAATAGGAATCTATATTTTAAGAACAGAAAATAATTGTTACTATCAAAAATGGCCACAATAACTTTGTTAATAACATAAGGCAAATACTGCATTCAATTAAAACTCCTCTATGGATTTTGTATCTTACTAAAATTACAAAGAGATAACATCAATTTGAATTACTATAAGTTCTACATACGTTCTTTTGACATCTTGTTCAATCATTGATCGCAGTTCTTTATCTTGAAAAAATTTGTTCCACAGACTCTGAAATAAGGAAAACAACCTATTTAAGATAATTTTACACCTTTACTTGTCTTTTATGATCTCAATTTAATAATTTAAGTGATCAAATTTATCCTTCTCTGAGTTATCATTTCACATTGTGGAGAGGAAACCTGAAGTAGAATAAGTTTTATTAAAAACTACTAGTCTAATATCAGAAACACATCCTTATACTAATATCAATTTTTCCGTAATAGTACTGTACATATTTTAAATTTTTATATTATCTTTATAAAGTAAATAATAGTTCTGCTGCTCTACACCCACTACTTCCCTTACAACAAGAAAAAGCTCTGCTTAGATTAGAGCAGGGCCAGAGGCCAACTGGTCTCAACTTGAACCTGACCTGAACTCCCAACGCACTAAGACATGTAATGTTTTTTTGCAAAGCTTGGCTTTATGATCAAGCAGATTTTTAGACACTTTGTAAAATGTGAATTTCAGTTTTAAAATTCACTTAATATTCTATGCTGCTATACTATAAACTGTATCATAACAACTATATGTATCAGTAAAAAAAGAAATGCTGGTATTATATATTAGCTGGAAAATAATTTCTGTTAGCAGGGAAATAGGAATTAGAGCAGCAATTGAAGAAGTTATACAATACTCTAAAGTAGTAATTATTCCTAGTCTTCTCTGAAGTATCAGTGGGGAGGGGCAAATTTTTTTCATTATCTTTAAAAACTTCTTAATAGACTCACTCCGAAAAGTCACTTTTCTTCTTGCAAGTTAGTCCCACCAAGTAAACCCCCATCTATTTTTATCATAAAGGGAGGCTTTCCTAGAGTCCCTACTGCCCACTACAACTTGACATTACAGTTCTAGCCTCCTGTTTATGCTCTTCTCTTTTACCCTGAGTTCTTATGGTCCCATGGGACGTCTCCAGAATGCCATTCCACAGAAACAGATCATAAACCTCCTACAACACAGGATGAATATAGCATAGAATAATTTCCATCAGGTTTTAGGTTGCATAATATATGGAGTAAAAAAAATTTAATTGGCATGAAATAACATTGTTTTCATGGTGATTGATAACCTGTATCATAAGCATATTCTTATGGGCAAAAGAAGCTGAGATATGAATAAAGATGAACTTTACCCCTTCATCCTGTGAAAGGGGATTATTGATCATCAAATCTTGCTGGCCAACAACCTTCCTTGGGTTTGTGATGTGCTGGCAGGGAAAGAAAGAAAACACACATGCAAAGATCAGAGGTTACTGGACTTTAAAGCATACATAAGAAAACAATTACATTAATTAAAGTACAACTTACTATTTCTTTAACGTTGCTATACCATGCTCTTAATTCTTTAATTCTACTTATCCACTGACTTTTATCTTGAGGAAGAACACAAAGAAATAGCTGTCAAGGAAAAAAAAGGAAACTTTTGTAAAAATCCTAACAAGCAACATGTAAAACTATGCCAAACAGAATCACCTGAAGCAGATATTCATACTGAATACTGCAAGAGACATTCATATTCATATCATTCCGGTTCCCCATAAATTATATTTGGGAATGTTTATGTGTATTTGGACAATTCAAAAAGTGAACAAAGGCCACAAGAACAAGATCCCAAAAACCACACCACAAAACTGAATCAAGGTCCCCTCCAGATTTATATTAAAAATGAGCAAGAATGTACTGAGGTTCAAGTATAATTCCCATTTTACAGTCTCATATTAATGGGGTATTAATATGAGACAGACAAAAAGTCCAATGATTAATTTCAAGGTTTAAGATTTGTCTTAAAACAGGCAGGTAAAGGACAGAGAAGAACAACCTGAGGGCATGGCTTGAGAAGTGAAGTCATTCCTTCTATGGCAGAAACATTAATTTACAACTGGCAGCTAGCTTATGAAAACAACAAGCATTCTTAAAAAGACAAATTTGATTTAATTTAGTTTAGTACCATATTAAAGTAAATCTGGACTTGAGTTTATTTTTAGAAAACGAAGGCTACTAAAAGTTAAACAACAAGGACTAGGGGGTGGGACACAAATATTTGTATACAAATATTCTAGCAGCAGGTCTTCTGCCTTTACTGCCTGCATCTAACAAAAGAAAAATGCATTTTAATTATTAAATCTAAATTATTAAATCTAAGACTATCTAATACATCATGTGTTCCTTACTGTCTTTACTTGCACAGACTGTATGCTCAATTTATGCAGATATAACCTAAAAAACTTTCAATAGAAGTCATTCCAGAAATAAGTCTAAACCTCAATTCATTTTGAGATAACAAAAAGCGACAATATTTCCAGGCAATTAAAAAAGATAACTGTAAATTATTACTAGTTTTGATAATCAATGGACCTTTCTCTTAGAAAACTTATCTAATTTTCTTCCACTTCTCTTTCCTGCTGCCCTTCACTTTATGTTTCCAGTTTAAAAAATATATATATATGTATATGTACATATACATATGTATATACATATATGTACATGTGTATATATATATATATATGTACATATGAAAAATCTTTTCCATCTGCTGTTTCTGAAGCAAAAAGTGGGGGTGACTAAATGGCTGCACTTGATACAGTGGGAAGCTGGAAGAAAATCCCCCTCTGCTCCTGCCCAGTATCAAGGATTTCTGCAGAAGCCTCTGGGGGATGTAAAGGTGTTGCTTCGAATTCTGCTCCATCAAATGAGATGAAAGAACAGCTATTTCAAATGACTCCTTTAACATCACCAGTTACTCGGGACTAAGGTGGTTCAACCTTATTAGTAAATGTCCTATGAAATATAAACTTGGATGGCCAAAAAATCGAGAGTGAAGTCTCCTGGAAAATTCAGTGATCCCCTGCATGGGTAATCTCTCAGGGCATCAGGTAATGTGTTGATATACTGCAACCACAAACTGTAAATAAATATTTTCTTCTTACCTTCCAGCAAATGCTGCGGAACCTGCTGCTTCTCAGCTGCCCATTAATCCCCTTCTGCCTTATTGTTGCCAAGTAATTGTTGTTTACAAATAGTTCTTCCCATTCTTTCCTATATGCAAGAAACCAAAGCATAGGGATCCTTTTGTTAAAATTCTCTGCTTGGAGAGGAATGCTACAGGAAATTAATTTTAAATAAGTCTAAGAAATGCAACTTTTAAAACATATATATTTAGTTGTGTACTGTTTCTGAACGCATGGCTGTCTTTTTGGACACAGTTCTTCTTAGATTTAATGAATATGTAGATCGCTATAATTATGCCAGCTACTGAAATTCATAATGTCTATGGAGGCTATTCCATTTCCTCTAAAATGCTGGTAGCGCAGTTCAGAGCAACAAGAAAAAAATGAATATTAATATAAATATATGACTGCTTTACCCATTGACAAAGACATACCTACTCCAAAAATACACAACAAAAGGGTACTGTTAATTACATTGGCTTCTCACATGAATATCTGTTTAAATGAATCTGTTTCTCTTTAGTGTCAGGCTGGGGAGTTAAATATAATAGAAGACTACTTTCTTTAACTTCCAGTGCAATTTACTATTGAAATCTCTGCAACTTCTTTCTACATGATCAGTTTTAAAATTTTAACAGGTGCAGGCAAATTTGAAAAAAACATCAAAAAATTAAAAAGCCTCACTGTAAAAACTGTTAAAGGCAAGCTTGAGTACCTTGCAGTACCTATGGCTGAGTAGATAAAGAACTGAAATATGCCTCCCAGGCACACAGACACCAGGGGCTTAACACCTGTGCCTCATTAATATACAAGTAAATCTGCTCTACTGGGAAACAATTGGAAATTAATTGTCCCAAACCATTTACTGAGTTTGAATAAAGGAAGTAGACCTATATTCCCTGCATCTTGTACCAAACTAAACATCAAGAATCATTTGTCAACAGTTGAGGCTACTGAACACAGCTTTGTGAAATTTCTGATTTCCTAATGCTGCAATAAACTTATCATCAAGGCTGAAACCCTGGCAATCTCTTCAGAGAGATCCTCAAAAGAAAGCCTTTAAAACCCTCAACTGTCCTCCATGTAGATACACAGCAGCAGTTCTCACTGGTCGGACCTGACTCAATTTGAGAAAGGACGGCCTCGCACATCATGTTATCTTAAAGTCAGTAATGCAACCAACTACTAAAACACCCGACTGTGGAGTATCATCTCCACAGAGTTTTCAGAAGAGTGACCCCGGCAATGGCACATTCCTGACTGCCACAAGCAGGAGAATGTCCAGCTCGGCCCTAGAGCACCCATCCCGAAGCCTTCTGCCAGGAGGGGCCGGTGGCTAGGTATGCCGTATGAGACAAGCACTCCAGCACCTTAGTGAGGAAGTCCACTCCTAACACCACTCCATGAAAATTTCTTACTCCCAACACTCCATTCATAAGAGAAAATAATACTTCATTTTTATTTTAATTTGCATTTATGTCATTAGTTAAAGCGAAAATTTTTCATTCTTTTGAGTCATTTTATTACTTCTTTTTTAAAAACATCCCTTCTTGTCCTTTGCCTATTTTAAGCACCATAGTGGTTAAGAGAATGGACAGCAGAACCACACTCCTGTGATAAAAAGACAGTCATGCCTTCACAGAAACAGTACACAATTTACTAGCTACTTACTAGCTGTGCAAGCTTGGGCAAGTTACTTAACGTCCCTGTGCCTCTGTTTCCTCATCTGTAAAATGAAGTAACAGCATCTACCTCAAAGAATTATTGTGAGGATTAAAATACATGACAAGTCCTCAGAAGCATGTCTAGTATATCAGAATATTTTTTAAAATTAGTATTATTGTTAATACTAATTATAATATTACTTTTATTTTACTGTGCTTTATTATTGGTCCAAAGGAGGAGTTTTTCATACATTAAAAACATCACACCTTTGTCTGCCACATATACTTTTTAACCCGATACCTTGGTTTTCAACACAGTGAAGCTTTTTAATGTGTATATTAATTTAACTTGAACATTATTTTCTCCTGATGCTTTTTCCACTGTTGTCATGTTTAAGTAATCCCTAGCCCCTCCAAGCTCAAAGATGTTTTTTTTTTTAAATCATATTAGTCCATTTGTATTGCCAATAATATTTTAAATACGTTATCCATTTCCCAACAATCTCACATATATTATTCACATCTCATATTCAGGTTTTGTTTTTACCCAGTTTTAGCAGTACTCAAAGATGAGATAAGCAATGAGTACATCTCAGAGAATGTTAAGTATGTCTAAATAGCTTGTGGTCTGCAAGCAAAAACTGCAGATTTTAAATGGATTCTGATCCCAAAAGGAATCAAAATTTGTGCAAGACCATGCAGTTCCATGGCCTGAAGTCACCGATACATTCCAGATAAGAGAGGGAAGTGTGAGGCAAGGACTCCTCCAGCCTCTTCCAAAATCAGCTCCTATTCACAGGGACCGGGACAGTGTGAAGGTAGACACAGCTGGTGGCTAGATTCATTGCCATCTTGTCAAGTTACGCAGCCTTTTAAGGTCAAGTTACATACTACTTATGTAATGAAGGATAATTATTTGTTAGCTTAAATAAGACCCTGGGCCTTGATTACAGTGTCGGCAGAGAGAACAGGAGACTGGGACATGTGAAATGGAAACATTATCTTTGGAATTCACAATCATCTCAATTTATTCAGGGTACTCAGAGTTCCAATTAAGGCTGAACGCCTCAAACTGATGAAGAGCCCTAACAACAGAGGAACACGAAGGCCGCAAGATAACTCATTGTCTTGCTCTTCTATGGCACCGTGTTTCATTAATGAACAGTGATACGGAGTAAACACAAGTGACAGTGCCTACTATGAGCTCAGCTCTCAGAGAGATTAGAGAAAGCATGAAGCTAAAGAGGTCGAGGGATCTGTAAACTAGTAATAATCGCGTGAAGGACAAGCACTCTGGTAGTACAGAGAAGGGAGAACTAGTTTTATACCTACAAATGAAAACTGAGTGTAGAAAATAATAGTAGCCCCATGGGCACTCAAATGCCACTCCAAGAGCTGAGCTGTCAGATCTTTAACAGTATACAGAGGACAAAATATTGAACATGTTAGCCCTTCGAGAGGAGCCGAACCATAATTAAAGTTTTTTACAATCATAATTAAAGTTTTTTACAATCATTTGTAAATGGGGACCTACTCCTGAACTTAGATCAGGACATGGGCAAAGAATGCTAAGTTTTTGATGAGTCAGTTGTGGAATTTTTCAGCTTTACAAAAGTAAAGGAACGATAGTATCTAAACTTTGTCTTATATTTTTTAAAAAAGCAAATAATAGGCCTGTAACAGTCAAAATCTGGCAATGATGCTACTGAAATGCTAAAAAAAAAAAATCGATATATATTTAAAAATACGATATTTTAGTGGCAGGAGCCTGGGTGGCTCAGTTCCTTAAGCATCTGCCTTCAGCTCAGGTCATGATCCCAGGGTCCTGGGACTGAGTCCCACATAGGGCTCCTTCCTCAGTGGGGAGCCTGCTTCTCCCTCTCCTCCCTGCTCCTGCTCTCTCTGTCTCTGTCTCTCTCAACTAAATAAATAAAATCTTAAAAAAAAAAAATACAATACTTGAAGTAAATCACTTTTAACCTTTACAACAACTCTCCTAAGGTGTGTATTTTTAACCCTTCTTTATCAATGAGGAAACTAAGACTCAGAAAAATTTAATAAGAGGGGAAAAAAAAGAGAATTAGGAGAAGCATCTTTGTGGAAGCAACACTAAAAGGGAAATGCGATACTGCAGCCATCAAGGGACAAAAATGGCCTCTGGAAACAAGGCAAGACAAGAATATGACCTTATATTTTCTCCCTTAGATTCCTAGTTTTTGAACATTAAGTCCAAGGGTACAGAGATAAGTTTACACCAGTTGAACTGAGGAAGTAAGTCAACAGCTGCTGTGAGTGGTTAAAAACCTGGGGTATTCAGGTAGGTTCCTCAAATGGAACAGATTAGAGAAACGCCTGGGCCTTAAGGACTTTCTTGACAAAGCACTAGTGCCATCTAGTGACAACCACTATGCCTTGCAGGCACTGGGTCCCTAAAAACAACCAGCATCCAGGCACAGAAAGGCAAAAACTGGTTTTCTTCTCAGGCCTTAGTGGCTGTCCTAGAAGCATTGTGTGAAAAAGGATTCTGAAGCTACCATGTGCTCCTTAGAAAAGAATATTGTGACTGATTGAAAGTGTTGGCCATGAGGATCGCAGTCATTTCTCAATAAATGAAATCAACTTTTACAGTAGCAATTGAGGTCTCCCCTCCAAGAATATCTGTTTAGGTAGCTAATCCACTTGGCAATGTTTTTGTCTTTTGTTTTTTGTTTTTTTGACATGGAAATCAACCAGAATACACAGTGAATAAATACAGCTGATGATCATAAGGAGATCTCTATTTCTAATTACATATGTTAATGTAGTATTTCCTAACATACACACATAAAATTAGTATAAAACTAGTTAGCACCTTCTAAATGTAATTGTTTAAATACTTTTGTAACCTAAATAATGCATAAATTACTTGATTATGTGGCAGTTCTGTACTAGAAAATTTCTGAATTGTCCTAAATGATGACAAATTAGAGAAAATAAGTCTATACTGTGTATTTTTTTTATAATTTTATTTTTTATAAACATATATATATATATATATATATATACTGTGTATTTTATAGGATGGTTTCTACTCCATTTTTGGGCACTACCTGAGCAGGCAGCAATGTCTTTATGGGGCTAAGAAGAAACCCAAACAATTACAATTATTGAAAACAATTCAGAGACTACACACAGTCTAGTACTCAGGATCTTCAATACTTGGTTAAGAGGAGCTACTCTGGTTTTCACTGATGAAGAATGCAGGGAATGGAGAATGGATTATCACCGGGGATGTTCAACAGGTCCAACAGAGAAGGAAGATCAAAGAGGGAAGTATGGTGAGGGGGTGGTATGGTGAAGCTCTGCAGAGATGATCCTGTAGTTTACAAGCTCAGCTGGCTCTTGATCATCTCGTTTTTTGAGATTTGACTAGACATAGTAGCAC